TGGGGGGCATAAATGGTGAAATTCTCTCAGGACGTCATGTGAGGTGTCGATTCTCAAGTAAGTAGAGGCGTAGATTCCGAATTCCAAGTCGGAGATCGTAAAGTAGGGGTCTGGAATGCCATTACACCCTACGCGGGGCCAGGAACAACCCCCTCCTCTCGCCAAAACGGCCGCCGGGGGGCATAGTTGCAGTGAAATTTTCTCAAAGCGGCATGTGAGGTGTCGATTCTTATGTAATTTAAGGCTTGGATTCCGAATTCCGAGTCGGAAATCGCAAATTGGTGGTCTGGAATGCCATTACCACCACGGGGGGCCAGGAGCAATCCCCTACCTTCTTCAAAACGGCCGCCAGGGGGGGCATAGTTGCAGTGAAATTCTCTCTAAGCGGCATGTGAGGTGTCGATTCTAATGTAATTTAAGGCGTAAATTCCGAATTCCAAGTCGGAAATCGCAAATTAGAAGTCTGGAATGCCATTACACCCTATGGGGGGCCAGGAGCAACCCCCTCTCCTCTCCAAAACGGCCGCTAGGAGGGGCGTATTTATTACATGTGCGAAAATTTCAAATATGGTAGGTACATTCTCGTCCCTGGTATTTCATTAGCATATAAATATGTTCTACTCCTATTTTTTTGGCCTGAATATGAAGAAAACACTTTTTCCGAAAAACAAACATTAAGCAATTGGCTAAAATTCTTTCTTTTTTGGTAATTTTTTACCCTTTGAATGATGTCAAACGCACGACTGTCTCCCGCATTGCGACACTATGGTTCCTAGCTTGCACTGTTACAACTCAAAGAGTAAATCGTTATTGGAGAACTTACACATCATGAAATATTGTTATACGTTTCTTCATAGTAAATAAATAAATAGATAATTATAATTTGTTCACAAGCGGATAAGAACGTTCGAAAAAGTACTCACGACCGTCACAGCTAGACTCTAGAGATAAATGCTCCTACCAAACTGTGTGAAAGTAGCGCAACCGGAATCCGGTCGGCGTCGGTGATGCCCAGGGATGCCCCGAAGTGGGACGAAGTATTTATCATGACCAGGTTGAAGTTTTTGGTGAATCGCAACAATATTAGTCGGCAAGTAATAATTCTGTTTACTTGGGAACTCACGACCGTCACGCTAGTTTTTTTATATTTGGAAATGTTTTTCATTTTTTTTTTTTTTTTTTTTTTTTTTTTTTTTTTTCTTTATTGAAAGAATAGAGGACTACATGGTATTAACTCTATTTCTTATAACTAGGAACTAAGAACTACTTTTACAATAATGGGTAGGCTGGTACGACACCGGCCCTATCTAGATTACAGAATGTACAGGTGCTGTACATTACGATTGAGATAATTGGTGCAAAATATATACATATGTATACATGCTAAATAAGTATAGATATTTGTGATAAATATTTGGATCTTAATTATTATGCCCCCCGTCCCCGCTATAAAACAATAAGATATTAATTAATAATTAATAGAGAAATAGGTGCATAATGCAATGATAATGCACGAGTGACAGTCGAGAGTCAGACACAATCAGTACAAGTGATAGGAGACGTTAAGATTAGAGATGCTCGATGTTAGAGCGGTGCGTTGAGATGCGATGTGTGCCAAATGGTGTTATTATTTGGAAAATTACAAGAGTCTTTTACCAAAAATTTCTATGAATGTGACTAGATGAAGATATAAACAAGGGGGTATAACGACTGTCTTTTGGGGGTAAATATGTAGAAGGTACACAAAATGGAGGTTAAAATTATTCTTAATGGCTTTTCATCAAAATAACAAATACTTAAAAAGAAATTTGGCATCAATTCATTTTTGACAAATTACCTCAGATGTTCGGGCGGAATGCGGACGATGATGCGGAAAGCGGCTGTAATGAAGTCGTTTCGCGTTGCGCCCCGCGACCCGGCGCCCCGGGTAGTAGGAAACTCCTCACGCGCTTTACGTGTGGTGAGCTCCCAGCACCCCGCGACGCCGCCCCGCGAGCGCCCCGCAGAAAACACATGTTGAAAGAAGACAAATTAAGAGAATTGCACCGTAAATAAATAGTGGGTTTTTCATTAAAATCGTGCTTACCATGTGTTAAAGGGCATATCCTTATACCAAGATAGAAACCAAGATAGAAATCCAAGATAGAGATCTGGTGCTCATATGTTCGTTTCCATGGATGGCGGCTCGTGCAGCATTTATGTTTCGAAACTCATGACCGCCACACGCTCATAACCGTCATAAATAGCTGGAGTTAGTTTAGGAAAAGCTGTATTAAAAAAAAATATCCGATAACATTGGGACCATATACGTGTTCAGATCCCAGAAATAAGAAAATACAACTTCCAAGGGAAATTATGAACTTGATTTGTCGACTTTTTTCACCCTGAAATGTCCGCTATTTCAAATTTTCGCCCACATAGGAGCAGTGAAATTCTCTCAAAGCGGCATAGAAGGTGTCGATTTGTTTTTAATCTGAGGCGTGGATTTCGAATTTCAAGTCAAAAAATGTAAATATCCCGTAGTGACGAAAATACTTAAATATGGCAACCGCTTTGACCTACATGTTGGACTAAAAATGCTGCTTGGGTTCATTTTTGTCGAAAGAGCTGGAAATGAATTGGTGATTTTAATTGTACTTGACAAATTTCACTCTTATTCTTTTTCTAATGTACGCCAAGGACTCAGATGGGCGTCTGTTTTTTTCATTTTTAAAAATTCCCACTAAAATATAATTTTTTTGCCGACGAAGTATGTATCTGCATTCAGAGTTCCTATGTTATTATTTATGCACGCATTCAGTTTAATTGCAATTAAAACAACTGGACAATAGAGTGCTTTTTGTAGCGCAGGGTTTTGTCTCCTAATAGAAGCTACACCTACAGTTTCCTGCGTTATCTGCAACAAAACGCACGCTCCTGCTAGAAGAAAATCGATTACAAAGAGAACCATCTATTATCCAGTCATCAAATAATGAAAGAAACAGACGCCAATATGAATCCACTGCGTACATTTGAAAAAGAACATCGGTGAAATTTGTCAATCACCGTTAAATTTTCCGATTCATTTCCAACTCTTTCGACATAAATGAACCCAACCCATACAGCATTCTTTATTCAAAGATAAAGGCCAGAGCGATTGCCATATTTAAGTATTTTTGTCACTTTGAGATATTTACGATTTCTGTCTTAAAATTCGGAATCTACGCCCCTCCCAGCGGGCGTTTTGGAGCGGAGAGGGGGTTGCTCCTGGCCCTCCGTAGGGTGTAATGGCATTGCAGACCTTCATTATAGGTCTTACAACCCAGTTTGCATACAAAAAGACACGTCAATCGGCAGTGAAGGGTGCATCTCGTGAAATTACCCTTAGAGTTGAAATTTTGGCCGCCATCTTGGATTTGACGGTCCCAAAGGGGTTGAAATGATTTTTTGACACAAAATACGAATTCTACGACCAAAATTACATATAAATGGATACCAAACTCGACAATATTCTCAAATTTTGGAATTTTGACCCCTGAGGCGGCCATTTTGGGCGCAATCTTGAATTGGGGGCACCAGCATCATTTTTGAACTTGACAACATCGAAAATCGGATTCTACACGAAAAAACGAAGAGAATGATGTATCGTTCAAACTTTGTTACACAAGCTGCACAATTGAGTCTTTTTTTGTTCATCTGCTACCGCACTAACTTTCCAGTACAGTGGACCACAAGACATGCTAGAAATTGGACTCAAAATTTCTTGCAGAACTTGTTGAACGTATCATTCGCTGGGTACACAAAAAAAACCCTGCACTTTATGATTGGAAATTGCTACTTTCAGGGATCTTGAAAACCTTTGAAATTTCACCCACATTTCAAAAGTGTTTAATCATTTAACACGCGAAAAAGTGACTTTTTTTGCCTTAAGTGACAGCGATGGGAAATTATCTTACTTTACTTTGATACCAAAACAATTATTTGCGTAAAAAAATGCACCCGCTAGGGTAATTTAAGTGAAGCGTCGCGATACGCGGTGCGCAGTGGAAACGGCGCAATACGAGCAATTAACGTGCTACCCAAGTCATATGCGAGCTACATTTCGGCCTATTCTCGTCTGATTTTCATTATTTTGGGCTTGTTAGAAGCTATGTTAGAAGATGACTAATCAGACTGATATACTTGCGGTTTCCTATCAAATCCGGGTATTTTTCAAAAGAACCGAAAATTTTCAAATTTCCAAAATTTGTAACGACCAATAATTTTCAATCGTTTGAAGAAACAAACCTCCTCCTGAGTATTAAAGAAAGATCATTCTCTGACGTTTAAAATAATACCATGACCATTTTGGTATGGTGATAAATAGATCCATGAGCGCAATTTTAAGCGCACCCCCGTGGCAAGCACTTTCCGTTGGTAGGCGTACGGACCCAATTTCATCGCCGCGCCGCGTACATGGTCGCGACTGTGCGTGATTTCCCGGATTCTACGAATTCTACGACCAAAATTACATATAAATGGATACCAAACTCGACAATATTCTCAAATTTTGGAATTTTGACACCTGAGGCGGCCATTTTGGGCGCCATCTTGAATTGGGGGCACCAGCATCATTTCTGAACTTATCAACATCGAAAATCGGATTCTACACGAAAAAACGAGGAGAATGATGTATCGTTCAAACTTTATTATACAAGCTGCACACAGAAGTACATTTGCAACCGCACTTAGTCGTAAATAAGGGTTCCTAGGATCAATGTATTTGATTGAACTCCTTAACAAGGATTCAATTAGGGGTCGTTAGTTTGATAACTTTTTGAATGGTTACAGGATAATCCCAGTTTTTTCTGGTTCCTCCATTTCAAAATTTTTGAGATATAGTTTCAAAAAGAAGTAGAAACAGCATATGTCTCATCGCCCAAGATAGCCTCCACAGTTTTTGTGTTTTTTTCTTTTTTGCAAACTAGTAGCTCTTTTTGTGGTTGGAGAGTAACGGGAAAACTAATTTTTCTGATTTGCAGGTGGGAGGTTGTTGCTAACTTCTTGAATCAGCACTCAGCTGGTGGGACCACAAGAACTGCGAAAGAGGTCTTAACGAAAGTCAAAGACATGCAGCATACAGATTTCTCACAAAGTGATTTGAAGGTAGTGAACAATGAGGAAGCATATTCAAACTTCGAAAAGGAAAAAAAGAGAGATGCTGTTGTAGAAGCCCCTGCCTCGGAACGGTTTCCTGGTTAGTTATTTTTTATTAATGCACATGTATGTTACAGGTAAAACCGTAAATTCTTCTATCCTAAAATTCTTGACTAGTCAAAACTAATCCTGACAACCTAGCTCGGTCAAAATGTTGTTTGATGGTATCCTCATGCTAGGACCTAGATTTGACCATGGGTCAAAGGGTCAAGAGTAACTCCCTGTCCAGGAAAATTAATTTTGCCCCTAATATTTACCGCTTATTCCTGGCACTTGGACAGGATTTGCCAGTAATGCATTATTTCCTTGTTGGACTTCCATCGGAATAACCTTGCAATTGGAAACACAATATTGAAAGAAAAAAGGAAAAGAAAAATTAGTTTTTAATATTGGTATTGTAATTTCTTCTCCTTCCTTAGACATAAATTGAAAGTTACAAACAGTTTTTGATTTTAGAAACATCAAGCAGGAAATTATCAGTAGTATTACTTTTGATCTTTCACTTTAAAAAAAAAAACAAATAATGAAACAAACAAACAACTAACTAAATGAAAAGACCATGCCTCTTAAAAATATACCGATCCTTGAAATAAATAGTTTGTATTCATATATTTATTTTTTTAGGTTGTTCAAGGTTTTTCATGGTTTGAATTTCTTTATATTAAAATACCATTGTAGTGGCAGTTTTTAAACCCTTCTTGCTGAAGAAAGACGACAGCAGTAAGCTTCATACTTTCTTTGTTAAAATATTCTCTCATGCTAATGAAATGCAGTATTCTACGTAGGGGTCTCTTGAATTAATCCTTTTGAAACTGAAATCAATTGGTCAGAAAAGCTTTATCACGGTCTTCTCTAAAAGAAAAAGTTGCTACCTCTGAAATGAGTGATCACCTCCATTTAATGTTTATCAAATCAGTTCTAAGTGCATATGGATCATTTTCCTCTCTAAGAAGTTAGGTCTTTAAAGAAATTTTTAGTGTAGAGAAAAGAAGAAGTCAAGATGTCGCTGCAAGTTCTTGAGCAGAAGATAAAGGATATCGGTAAATCCAGAGCTGGATCATTTTCATTCAAAATGCCCCTTCACCTCTTTTCTCAAATGCTTCATTTTCTGTATTGACAATTCAGAGTGCCTTTTTCTTTCGTCTCCTATGTAGAGCAACCAGCCCTACCATGGTCAGCTGAAGAGCAGCAACTTTTGGAGCAAGCTTTAAAAACTTATCCAAATAGTGTGTCTGATCGATGGGATAAAATAGCAGCAACTGTCTCGACTCGGTCTAAAAAAGAATGTATGAAAAGATACAAGGTAAAGGTTCTCTTCTTTTTATTTTATCATAGCTGTTTGGATGGTTTCATTTTGACCATTTTTCAAGTAATATTATTTATAGAGTGCGTATTGCCGTTATAAGTTGAAGGCTATTGCCTCTGAATTCAAGGTTGTTGACCTGATACAGACATCTCAGCCATATACAGGGTGTCTCAAAAGTCCCTTCCCCCCCCTAAAATTCTACCTAATTTATATTTTGAAACGAAACTTTGGGGATGCTCATAGATCAATGGTAGTAATATTTGGGGGAGGCCCCCCAAAATTTTTTCCCCCCTCCCCCTTGGTGAGGGGCTACGCACCCCAACTTTTTTTTAAAATGGCAATGCCCCGTTTGTGACACATCAATCAAAAGATAACAATGAAAGAAAATTTTTAATGTGAACTGCAGGTCAAAATCTTTATTTTTGTTGAAGTGGCGGCCGGTCAAAATTCACAATAACGGAAAATTGACATCTTTGTTTTTGTTGGCGGATTGGGGTGAAACTCATCATCTACAAGTTTTTTTGGAAGAGAAAAACGATTCTGGCAATAGTTTTCCGCGGAATCCTATCCTCTTTAAAATGGCGGCGGTAATAATGGCGACCTGGAGCGGTAAGGGAATATTAGGGATTTGCTTGAAACTTGGTAGCCGGGGGTAATTTGGCATGAGAAAAACGAATCTTTCATTGGCTTTTTGCAATTCTGCATAACTTCAAAATGACGGAAACTTAGTCTGCCTTGCCAAGCATGAACGCCGTATGAATATTCGAGAGTTGCCAAATTTCCTCCGATAAAATGTTTATTTCTAAGAAAAATTATGAATCTTTTCTTTTCAAATTTTCAGATGCTATAGATTAAATTGTGATTGAACTCCTGTAAAAAATTGGTAGAAAATATCTACAAGTTTTCCAGGAATTTCTTATTTTATTGAAGGAAATTTGGCATCGCTTGTAGGCTCATACGGCGTTTTTCCTTAGTATGGAAGTAGTATCATGGAAGTTTACTGATGGATTTGCATGAAACTCGCGATCCTATTGGTTTCTGGCTCTTAAAAAGTGACTCTTCAGCATTATATTTTTGAAATTATAAATACTTTCAAAATGGCGGCTGAGTTTCATGCGATCTAATCAGTAAACTTCCGTGATACCAAATTTCCGTCATTTTGAAGTTATTCAGAATTTCAAAAAGCCAATGAAAGATTCGTTTTTCTCATGCCTAAATACCCCCGGCTACCAAGTCTCATGCAAATCCAGCAATAAGCAGCCCTAATATTCTCTTACCGCTCTAGGTCGCCATTTTGAAAGGACCGGTCGGTTTTTGGGGGGGCGAAGCCCCCCCAACCCCTCCAGGACGCGCGCTTCGCGCGCGTTTTTTGGTTTGAGTGTCCGGCCTCATATCAATTGTTCTGTCTTTTAAGTGACCCACGCGTCCACCGCGGGAAGAGTGTATATTCCGAAGGGAGGGGCGGGGAGTTATCAATCTTTGGAGGTTGGATTTACGTTTACACTGTTGGAGGCATTGATTATTCAAATAAGGACGTCATGTCGCCAGATTGCAACAACAATCCTCATGTAATGTCTGATATGAAAAACTGTCAACAAACGCTGTGGCAAGCTTGAATGACGATAGATGAATCTCCATAACCCACTGTGCGACAACATTGCCGTCTTGTCCACCAATTATCAGTCTGTAACCCACTGTGCGACAATATAGCCGTCTTGTCCACCAACTTTCAGTTCGTGACCCATTGTGCGACAACATTGCCGTCTTATCCACCAATATTCAGTTCGTGACCCACTGTGCGACAACATTGCCGTCTTGTCCACCAATTTTCAGTTTGTGACCCACTGTGCGACAACATTGCCATCATGTCCACCAACTTTCAGGTCGTGACCCACTGTGCGGCTTCCCTCCTCTTTTGCCGCATAAAGACGCGGCTGACGGGGCGATGTAGATTTTGAATTGCGATCATCACCAAAAATCATGAAAACACCTACCATTATACACTGTGTGGATAATTTTAGATTCAATTCGATAAAATCGTAAGCAGTTGCCATATTTCCGTTTTATAAAATTGCAAAATTTGGCCAGAAAATGTCAATTTTTTCATTTGATTAAAACCAGTAAATGCTTATTTTTCAGCGACATTATCAAAATACGGACCTTTAATTTCTTTTAAAGGAAACTCAAGATTCATCAATTAAAAAGGTACTTTTCGTCCTGTATGCAGGTTTGCCAGAAACTTATGAGCAGCAACAAAAATGCCCTCCATACGGGGGATGAATCTTGGGCGGTCTAGATTTGATATGGGTGTATTCTTTTTACATACTAAATAAGATAGGAGTTATCTTTTCTTCTATTTGCAAAATTTAAGTGAAAAATTGTTCAAATTTTACTTTTTGATTCCAAAGCAAATTCTGAGAACCTCAAAAAATCGCTCGCACAGTTTATACACGGGAATGAACAAGCAAACCTATCTCGGTCATGAACCTCTAAACATTTCCCACGCTACGATATTTTTGCTGTTACTTTCAATTTTTCGAAATCTGGAACAAATGGAAAAAACACGCTTTTATCATTTGTGAACCCTGAAGTTTATTCTCTTTATAGCTGGACTTTAAGAGATCGGGGCTTCAATTATTTGCGAACATCAGTAAATCTCTAAACGGTTCGTTTTGACTTCTTACTCGTGAATTAAAAAACTGTTTTTCCTCATTTTTCTTTGGATATTAAGGGAGGGGGGGTCCAAATGTTACACTTTCAGTCAGGAACAATAATATCGGGATTATTTTCGAACCAAATCCGCTCGTCGATTTGTGTGTACTTATTTTCATAGATCAGCTGCGTTCCCTAATTGAAGTTCAGTGACTTTGACAACGTCTCATTGTATGTAATAAATTCTTCAATTAATAGTCTATCAATTGATAATGTCGCTGAAAAATAAGCATTTACTGGTTTTAATCAAATGAAAAAATTGACATCTTCTGGCCAAATTTTGCAATTTTAAAAAACGGAAATATGGCAACTGCTTACGATTTTATCGAATTGAATCTAAAATTATCCACACAGTGTATAATGGTAAGTGTTTTCATGATTTTTGGTGATGATCGCAATTCAAAATCTACATCGCCCCGTCAGCCGCATCTTTATCGGGTATGTAACTTGGCAACACCGCATGAGGGGGTACAATTCTTTGAGGGAGGGTTTGAAACTTTTGAGGACACTCATTTACATGTCAAGGACTAACATACATAGATTTTTAACTTAATTTGACCAGATGGCGGTGGGTTTTTGTGGTCACACGTTGGCTTTTGCCGCCATTTTACCCTTAAAAATAGAAAAAATCGAATTTAAAAAAAACGGCCCCACTTACGATTTTGCGGTTTTCAATTCATCAATCTAGAGACCTTCCTTGACACTTTATACAAAAAAATCGCGGGTGGTCATCAGAAAAATTAAAATTTTTTAAAACAAACCGTGAATATGCATGCCGCTTGAAATCATATATATATATATATATATATATATCGACGACGGACGAAAAGTACCTTTTTAATTGATGAATCTTGAGTTTCCTTTAAAAGAAATTAAAGGTCCGCATTTGGATAATGTCGCTGAAAAATAAGCATTTACTGGTTTTAATCAAATGAAAAAATTGACATTTTCTGGCCAAATTTTGCAATTTTATAAAACGGAAATATGGCAACTGCTTACGATTTTATCGAATTGAATCTAAAATTATCCACACAGTGTATAATGGTAGGTGTTTTCATGATTTTTGGTGATGATCGCAATTCAAAATCTACATCGCCCCGTCAGCCGCGTCTTTATCGGGTATGTAACTTGGCAACACCGCATGAGGGGGTGCAATTCTTTGAGGGAGGGTTTGAAACTTTTGAGGACACTCATTTACATGTCAAGGACTAACATACATAGAATTTTAACTTAATGGGCCTGTTGCATGCAAGAGATACAGCCGTGCGAATAGACTTTTTAGTGCTTAAATGACTCGAAAATTACGATGCTCACCTTAAATAAGTCTGAAGTACACTCCTTACTGCGCAATATGCGTTGTCAGGAACGCGTGTTTTCAAATTTCCCGCGTCTGGGGGCAGTTTTCTAACGGAAACAATTAACGGCAACTCGCGGCTATTTCCGGTCAACTAAAACTGACAACATAACCTAAAAATCGGAGCTCGTGATATCGTGAAATGAAATGTAGAAGGATTGCGTTGGATATTTAAAAGTTGATCGATTTGGTTACTGCATAAAACGTATATGGACCACTATAAGAGATCACGTTGGGTTTGTAAACAAACTGAAGGAAAAAATAACAACAACAACAACGACTCGACATCTTCCGGAAATCACCGAGCCCGCCGTTTGCTCGTTTCCGGTGATTAGACAACTGCCCCCAGACGCGGGAAATTTGAAAAAGCGCGTTCTTAACAACGCAAATTGCGCAGTAAGGAGTGTATTTCAGACTTTTTTAATGTGACCATCGTAATTTTCGTGTCGTTTAACCTCTAAAAAGTCTATTCGCGCGGCTGTATCTCTTGCATGCAACAGGCCCATTTGACCAGATGGCGGTGGGTTTTGGTGGTCACACGTTGGCTTTTGCCGCCATTTTACCCTTTAAAATAGAAAAAATCGAATTTAAAAAAAACGGCCCCACTTACGATTTTGCAGTTTTCAATTCATCAATCTAGAGACCTTCCTTGACACTTTTATCCAAAAAAATCGCGGGTGGTCATCAGAAAAATTAAAATTTTTTAAAACGAACCGTGTATTCGTAATCTACGACCCATGATCGATGCTTATTACATGGTCTTTGGTCCAGGTCTGACATCAGGGGAGAATGCAATAGTGTATTTCCTTCGGAAAATACACTAAAAGACAGGATTCTCTGGAAAACTATTGCCAGAATCGTTTTTCTCTCCCCTAAAAACTCGCGGGTGATAAGTTTCACCCCAATCCGTCCACAGAAGTGAAGATGTCAA